GCTATGTGTGAAGAATTTAATGCTTTGATTAAGAATGATACATGGGAATTAGTACCCCCCTCCCCTCACCAAAATATAATAACCGGAAAATGGCTTTTTAGGCACAAACTTGGCCCTACAGGTGAGTTAACCAGGTAAAAAGCTCGATGGGTTGTTCGGGGCTTCAACCAGAGATTCGGAATCGACTATGATGAGACATTTAGCCCTGTGATCAAGCCAGCTACTATAACCATCATTCTCAGCCTTGCTCTCTCTCGAGGATGGCCGATCCACCAGTTGGACGTCAAAAATGCCTTTCTTCATGGCCATCTGCAGGAAGTTGTCTATGCCTCTCAGCCATCAGGATTCCAGGATCCTCACAGGCCCGACTATGTATGTAGGCTCAAGAAGGCTCTCTATGGCTTGAAACAGGCTCCTCGTTCGTGGTACCAACGATTTGCTGGGTTCATCTACATGCTGGGTTTCCAAGGGTGTAAGTCGGATGCCTCTCTCTTTATCTACTCTCATGGGACAGACACTATCTACCTACTCCTCTATGTCGATGACATTGTTCTCACAGCTTCCTCTTAGTCTCTCCTTCAGCGCCTCACTGAGCGCCTTAAGGGGGAATTTGCTATGACTGACATGGGCGACCTTCATTTTTTCTTGGGCATCAATGTTCACCGGGCAGCTCATGGTCTCTTTTTGCATCAGACACAGTTCACACACGACATCCTTGAGCGTGCCGGCATGATCACTTGTCGTCCAATCTCCACTCCAGTCAACACGAAGGCCAAACTGTCCGGAACATCAGGCTCCCTAGCGGCCGACCCAGCTCTCTATCGCTCCATAGTTGGAGCCCTCTAGTATCTCACATTCACTAGGCCAGACATCTCTTACTCTGTTCAGCAGCTCTGTCTCCATCTACACACCCCCGAGATGCCCACGTCACGGCTATGAAGCGCGTCCTACGCTATCTCAGTGGCACCTCCACCTACGGTATGACTCTATCTCCCTCCAGCACAAATTCTCTCCAGGCCTATTCTGATGCTGATTGGGCTGGGTGCCCTGACACCAGACAATCCACATCAGGTTTCTGTGTCTTCCTTGGTGACAACCTCATCTCTTGGTCCTCTAAACCCCAGGCCACTATCTCCCGATCCAGCGCTGAAGCAGAGTATCGAGCCGTTGCCAACGCAGTTGCCGAAACCAACTGGATTCGAAATAATGACTTTGTGTAAAAAACTTATTTTTATGGATATGTCTCGAAGAGACGAATCCAACGGTACATTTTATGAACCAATCTGATTTATAGATTTCAAGTTATGACGATTTTAAATATTAAAATTTGTAACTTTGACCCATAAAATAAACTCATTTCAAAAGTGATTTCATCAGATTAGAAATCACAATTTTCACACTTGACAACACTATATTTGTCATTTGGATTTAATTCATATATTTTTATCTCATTTATATTATTAAATTAATTTATGACTAAGACAGATCCAGACACTGAGAAAAATATAAAAGTTCTCAGAAAAATATTTCGATTACGTCAAAGTTCTAGTTTTGACAGTCTAATTCCAAAAACACAATCCGTTTTTAATTTGGAGCAGTTTAAGCGAAAAAACGCATACCGTTCAGAGTAAATTGATCAGTTTGGACAAGAGTCCAAAACTAATATCCTAAAATCTCTTCCAAATCTCGTAACAATCTCCATTCAAGCCTATTAGCCACCCTATTCCACCTATCAAAGCCACTAACACCCCATTAACACAATACTCCAAAAAAACAATAAATATATGATACTCCACCACCACCATCTTCATCATTATCATCATGTTCAACCATCATCACCATCATCTCATCTCTCCCCTCTCCATTCTCTCTCTGTCGGCCAAACCAAAGGAAAAGAAAAGAAAGTTCATCTCCATAGTTGGTTGAAGGAAGAAGAAGAAGAAGCAAGAAAACCATCCAAAGTTCTAAAATCCTGAGTTCAAACACAGCAGCCCACTTCTAGGTAAAAACTGAAATTTTCCATCGATTATCTCGAAATACTTCTTGAGCCAAAGTTGTAGCCCCGGACGATACAAATCCATCCCAACAAACGGCTCGCGATTTCGTTGAGTAACGAAGAAGATATGGCCAAAATACCGGGACTGCGCCAGTGGTGGCGAGCTCCTCGGGTTGGACCATTTTCTTCACCAAATTCATATTGTTTCATTCCAAGAACTTACCATAAACTCTCTAACACTTATTAGGAACATCCGGAAGGTATCGTAGAGAAGGTTCGGCGTTAGAATATTGAAGTTAATGAGATAATCGTCGGAATC